AAGGAGCAACAGCCGCAATAGTAGCAGCGGGAGCTATAGCAATAGGGGCTATAGCAGCTATAGGTCGATCCTTCTAGGTCGAGTGCTAGCTACGAAGGAATAAGACTGCTTGCTATTATACTCTAGCAGCCTCTTCGTCTAGTTCTCGGCTAGCTTCTCGAAAGATAGTCGAGTAACCGTTACTAATAGGCTTTATTAGCAGAGATATATCCCGTAGCTACTAGCCGGAAAGAGCTTCTATAAGAAAGTATTAGTTAGCTTCCTCGAGGATTTCTTCCTACTTAGCTAGCCACGAAGAAGCTAGTAGGTTCCTAGTAGAAAAAGCTCCTAAGTAGGCCGTATAGGTCTTCCTAATACGGTTAGTTATATATCCTCTCGAGGGAGCTATTAAGGTCTCGAGCTTTAAAAGCTACTGCCTAGGAGTCTCTTCCTCTCGAAGAGAGATTAGCTTTACGGTACTAATAGATTCTATTATCGCCGTGCGTGCAGTAGTTAGCAGCTTCGTCTCGTAAAGGTATTCCTTATAGTAACTCTTATAGTTACCTAAGGTAGCAGAAAAAGCTCTCTATTATATAGAGGTTAGCTCGGAGAAGAGGGTAGCTCCCTCTATAAAGTCCGTTGCCCTAGGACGAAGAGGGGGCTCGAGAGGGTCCTGCTTATTAAAGAAGACTAAATTATAGATAGTTCTATCTATACGAGCCCGTAGCTCCTTTACCTACTTATCCTAATCTTAGGGCTCTATAAGAATCGTCCTACGGACCGTAGGGATAGTAGAGGAGTCGATTTTCGTTATTATTACGGGGAAAGGTAGAAAAGTCGGTTAAAATCGGCTTTTCTAGTAAGAGGGGTAAAAGGAAGCTACGAGGGATATAAGAAAGGTGCCTTTTATAGTAGCCGGAAGGTATAGGAATACTATTCCTCCCGGGCTTATAACTCTCGCGAAGAGAGATACGAGAAGTATATAAAAATGCACGAAGGTAAAATTAGAAGTAAGGGGTCGGATAAGTAGGGCAGAGAGATTTTAATTCTTATAGGAGCAGCAATTGCGGTAGGGGAGTGATTGTTATATTGCCTTGATTTTCCTTCTTTCCTCTATCTAACGCCCCTCTTTATACCCGTCTAGCATATTAATTAATAAAGAAGATCCTGCTTAAAGAAGCTACTAATGTCCCTTTAACTACCCAGCTTTTTGCCGGTTTTTCCCCTCCTTTCTAGCCGTTGCCGGTATATCCGTCTTATCTCTCGCTACCTCTATAGGAAGCCATCGCTACTTATGCCCCTACCCTCCTTTCTATGCCTCTTTTTAGCTCCTTCTTCCTTTTTCTATACCGGGTGTTTTTTAGCTTCCTTAGTCCCTCGTACTAAGGGATATCTCCGAGAACTACGAAATTAGGCTACGCTTCGCGATAATTATATCTACTAATATAAACCCCTTAATAGGTTTATCCCTTAAGAATAATACCGGTCGTTATAGATATAGGGGCACTTATAGTAAAAGGATAGCTCCTAGAAATTAACGAAAACGGGAACTACTAGTAACGATAGCTAAATATAATATTTAAAGTATAGCCTAATAACTTAATATACTAAAAGATCTTAAAATAGATAAAAGAATATAAAGTACTAAACGGATATAATATAGAATATTTAGAAGTTTTAATATATAAAAATAAAATCTAGATACTACTAAAATTATAAGATAAAGTTATATAAGATATATATAAATATCTAATATATAAATACTAAGGAATCTAAAGAATAATAAAACGGATTAAACGATAATATAACTTCTTATAGCTTAAAAAAGTAGTATAATAAGTTATTAAAGAATATAAACTTTATATATAAAGTAAAGCTAAACGATATAAACTATATAGAGAATTATAACTACTACTAGTACTAGAGAAACTATAGGATTTAATAGCTTTTAACTATATTATAAAGCTATTACTATTAAAAGAACCTATAACTAACGTTAAGTATAATAGTATATTTATTATTACTAATAGATTAATAAAGTATAGATACTTTTTACTATATAAAGAAGTAAGTAATATAAAAGAGCTAGTATATATATTCCTATAAATAATTATTAGTAATTATAGACTACTAAATAAGATTATCTTTAATAGAGGAAGTACGTTTATAGCTAAATTTTAGTAAGCTCTTATAGTATAATTAAGGACGAAATATAAGCTTAGTATAGCTTATTACCTATAAATAAATAGATAAATAGAACGACTTAACTAAACGCTTAAATAATATTTACGATACTATATTAGCTATAAATAAAACGATTAAGTTAAATAGCTACTAATAGCGTAACTAGCTTATAATAGCTTAGTTACGAAAATAACTAAGCTCTTACTAGTATACGCTAATTATAGATATAACCTAGAAGTATTTAAGGTTACTTAATAAAGACTATAAGTAGAATAAGTAATACTATAAGTAGATTAGCTATAAAAATTCTATAAGGAATATAATAAGAACTTTAATTTATTAAAAAACGAATATCTACTTACTATAATTAGAAAAGATTATAAGGACTAATCTTTTAAGAGGGAGATATAGTCTACCTTATATAACGAAATATTAAAATAAAACGACTAAGTAATAAATTAGATTTTAAGAAACTTAGACCGTTTAAGGTTAAGAAAACTATTTTAAAAGTTAACTACGAACTTTTGCTACTAATAATAATATAGATATACCTAATATTTTATATCTTATTATTAGAACTAGCGCTATAAAACGCTAAACTATAGGGAAAAATTAAAGTTAATAACGATTAAGAATATAAAGTAGAATAAATACTAAATATAAGAAAATAAGGTTAGTAATAAGAGTACCTTATTAAGTAGAAGGGATATAGACTAGAGGAAAATACCTAGGAACTACTTAAGCACTTAACCTACTATAGCTCTTTACTTTAATAATTTTACTAAAAGGTTTAAGAGGGATTAAAGGACTAAGATCTATAAACTCCTCGCTAATACTAAATAAGGACTAATTCGCTTTATTAAGAACGTATAACGATTATAAGTTATTTACTACCTAATACTTATATATATTAAGTATAGGCAAAACGCTATCCTTAGTATCTACTTCTTAGATACTACGATAAAATAACTTAGAACTCTTTTCCTTTATATAATTCCGAATCTTCTAGATATAAGCTAAACGATTAACGGTAATAGATATTTACGACTAAAGGTTTATAAGCTATGCCTAAAGCTCTAATAAGGCTTCCCTAGCTTCCTCCTCTTTAGAATATAGCCTACGCTACTCCGCTAATAATTTAGTTACTAAAAGAAATATATTAGCTACTATATATAAAAAGAATTAAAAGATACCTATAAGAAAAGGCTACTAAAATACTATTATAATAGGGACGACTACTAGTAATATAATTATTATAGCGCGAAGAATTTTCGGCTATCTAATAATTCGTTTTCTTTGCCTTAAAGTATCGAGTATATAGTATATCGGTAGGATCTCTACTTAAATCGATATATTTAGTAAAAGTAGCGCGATTAGAGGCTTTTCGGGAATAATTTTTTAGTATACGACTAGATATACTATTAGTAGTATATCCTAAAAAGATAAAGAAATAAGGAACGATATACTTACGCACGACGCGATAAGGATATATTTATATATAGCGGCTAAGGCAGCTATAGTAGGTCTTATAGATAAGACTAAAAGGAGGGGAGATATCGTATTACGACTATAGCTACTAGGCCGCTAACGGTCGACCGCGTTAAGCACGTAATATAGTCTAATAGATAAATAGTCGGCACGACTATCTAATAGATATAGGATCGAGGGGATCGCAGAGATCTAAGTAATCTAGGATTAATAGGATTACTACGCTCTATACGATCTAATATTAGGGATTATAGCTAGGCCTATAATCTAAGGACAGTCTCTATAGGTATATATAGCTACCTACTTTTACTCCTTTAGATAGATAGCTCTCTAGCTTTTAATATTATAATTATTATAATCTCTATTACGATCTTATCTCTAATTCCGATCACTTAATTACCTAGTTATAGTCTACGGTCTACGACCTCCGACTTATTACTAACGTAATATACTTATTATTGCTTAGACCACGCCCTATTATATCTGCCAACATAAACCCCTCGATAGGTTTATCCCTTAGGAATAACGCCGGTCGTTATAGGGGGTTAAGGCCTGGCCCGTTGCAGAGACGCATTCGACGATTATAGTCTAACAACGCGATCTAAGCCGCTTCTTAATGGCCTCCTTCTTCTCTGAGCTCCCTAGCACTAGCCCGTTGCAGCTAAGGCCCTCGAGGATGCCTATTTCGTCTATATTAAAGCGTGATTCCGGTGGGATTGCCTATATAGCCGGCAGCTTAAGCAATTGGAACCATTCCTTGATCCCGCTAACAGAGGCGCCGTTAATACGGGCAGAATTAAGAGATTTACCTTTAATCGTGCTAATCTCTGGGTTTCGGGCTAAAAAGCTCGAAACCCAGTGTTTTCCAAGCGGGCGGGGGTCTCTACTAGCCACGATGATGCGGCCGGCGAATTCCCTAAGTTGATAATGCGTTGGAGGCAGCCCAAGGGCCGCTTAGGCAAGAACCCATTCACAGAGGTGTTTTTCCTGCTCTCGACTAAGCCTTTGAGATGCCTCTTTTGCCTCCTTCATAGGTAGGGCTCCTTTAAGACGCGTCTAAAGGGTTGTTCTTGGAATACCCCACTTGCGACTAGCTTAGAGCTAAGGTATGCTATTATTAATAGCTTCGAGCGCTTCTTAGAGCTGGTTTTCGGTATATTTAGAAAGACGAGGCATCGCTGATTCGAATAATATTTATTTTATAATTATTGAATAAGAGATGCACGAGAAAACGCGGTCACGATGTAGTGGGTAGTCAACGCGATGGTGATGTGGGGAGGTGCCGGAAGTAGGGGGTGCCGGAAGCTAGGGGTGCTGACTTAGGTCCCGTTAGCGGGGGGCATATATCCTTAGTCAGCGAGGGCGGGGAAGAGTTTTCCACCCGTAAAGGGGAGAACCTCGCCTAATTCGTGATCTTTGGCAGCATATTGCGCACCCGCTAGTAGCTGCACGAGGCTGCACTTAGGGGTGCGTAATATGCTATTCGCGGCGGTTCTAGGCGTATGCTCTTTCCGTGTTTTAGGCTTGATTTCGAAAAGTTGGCCGAGAGGCCGTGATTTACTATCTAGATCGTTGATTAGAGCGCGGGCAAAGCTGACCTGAGGATTTACGGCCGCTTCAGATTCCCAGGCCGAGGCGCCAAGCACCTCAACATCGCTCTGATCTAGGTTGGCAAGTCCTGCTGCGCAGCAATCCCTAATGACGAGTCGGTGGTCGTTCGGGGACGGGGCGTGTCCTAATGATAACTTCGCCCATGGGATATATGGTTGCTTTGGGACTGATGCCGAATACGAGCCACAGACGTCGAGACCCTCTTTCGAGCCTTGGAAGCCGTGACCAGAGAAGTAGATGCATGCAAGGCCCCCGCTGGTATCATCACTTGAGGAGTTTTTGCCAGGAAATTTCAACACTGCCAGGTTAAGATTGAATAGAGCCCTTGGATGCGCCTGGGTACAATCGATGGTGTACTTGTCCACCGAACAATTGTACGTCTTGTTAAGGACGTCTAGCAGCTCGTCCCGGAGCGGTATAACCTCCGGGATATCAGACACAGAGAAGTTGACAGCGAGAATGGCCGCCTGAGCATACCGACGCCCGCCAGTAGGTAGCATTTGGCGGACGCTGTCCTGCACATCCTGAGTGAACTGTTGGAAGTCGTTGATGGCCTCGGGGCGCTTGAATGCGCGTGGCGGGTGAATGGCAGAAGGCGATGGGGATCTGTCCCTCTTGGACATGTTCGCAGGGTAGTAAGGCAGTTGTGCTGATAGAAAGACTTGTCGCTTGAGCTTGCGTGTATCTGTATCCGTAGGTGTGATATAGATGGATGATGGATCGTCTGCTTCCTTGTCTGGGGGAGAAAGAACTGACAGAGGTTTGCTAACAACGTTAATAACCCCACGACTAAAAGCCTACTTGCACGGCAGACTCGCAATTCTGCTCCATCGCCCCGCCAGATGCCTGCCAGCTGCTATTAGGAACCTTTAAACCTTAAACCTTATTATTATCGGTCGGTAACTTATAATGAGAGACTATTAAGGAGAGTAGGCATAAGAGGCTATAGTTATGCTTAGTAGGCCTAATATTTATATATAGGGAGCCTGCCTAACTAATATAACTCCCCTAGCCTAAGGATATAATATAGGCCCAACTTAGGTATAGGAATATCTTAATACCCTCTTTTAGCTAGCTATATATAGTTACTATACCTATATAAGCCCCTCCCTTGTCCTAATAGATAGACTAAGATATGCATCACTAAATTCACCTTTCTGTGCCCCTATTTCTTCCACTGTGCTCTCAAGCCCCTGCTTGAGAGAGACAAAAACAAACGGCTGGCAGCAGGGTCAATAGCTGCTGACTCAGCCACTGCTGATGTCGAGGCGACGCCATGAAGACCTTTGGTCAAGTCCTAAACGAACTATCACTCTTGACCTGTTGGCAGTCAGAAGCGTAATGTCGACACCCTCAAACCTTGCGCGGCTCCGAGGTCTGGAATTGACTCGGCTCAGTATACGGTGCCGACGCCTATGAGGACCGCCAAGGCGAGAGGCCGGCCAAGCGAGCGCGTTACGAAGCGTGCACCGGCGTCGGCGAGCGCCGTCTCCATCATCACTGCCATCAACATCTCCCGCCCTCCCCCTCCCCCTCAGGCTCCCCCTCAGGCTCCCTGACTAAAGCACCGGTGCCAGGATCGTCACCCACTTTCAGTCCCACGGGGCCCCGGGCAAGATGGTCGACTTCTGCCTCGTCGTCCGCCCAAATGCACACGAGCAGGACGTCATCAACTCTCTCTGCAAGAGCCGGCCGTCACTCACCATCAACCATACCAACTGGGGCAAGATCAGCAAACACCCAATCGCCCTTTCCATCGAGACCAAGCGCCAGGGCGAGCAGCTCGATGAGGCTTTTCTCCAGATTGGGACCTGGCATTCGTCGCAGTGGCGGAGACTCCGATACCGCGGCTGCGCAGCGGGCACCATCGACTTCCTGCCGGGCATCATCACCCACGGCCACGATTGGCTCTTTGTCGCGACGACACTAGGCGAGGACCTCGAGGCCACGACGTATAGCTCGCTGCGCATTGGCGACACTTCTTCTGCCTTGGGCACTTACAAGCTGCTTGCCGCCTTGCAAAGGTTGACGACCTGGTGTGAAGCCACACACTGGCCGGCCTATAGGGCCGATGTGCTGGGCATGTCCACGGCGGAATCAAGCAGCTTGGCCTAATATGCTTGACTCCAGACCAAATCGCATAACGAGGAACGACCTCATTTGAGATCCGACTGTAGACCCAGCCTGTGACTATTTTCTCGTTGATACGCTTGCCTTTCAACTTCACCTGGGTCTGTTTATTATAATCCTACCCTGTAATTTGATGATTCTTTATATTTTAACGGAGACCAGAAAACACACGTGGTTTGCAAAAGCCTTATAGGTTAGCCAAGACCTGCTCGAGCTACTTGATGCGGAATGCGGCCCAGAATGATTGAGTATGACAACTTCTTACATCTTCGTCCCGCTGGGCTAATTCCTCTCACCTGGCTTGTCAACTGCGACTATTAGTCACCTATATGAACTTCACGGGACGCAGACTTTATTTCGCCCGGACGGACGGCAGACCGGCGACCACCTTGCTGGTCAGTCAACTGTTGACTAAGTGCGTCTTTGGTCCTGTCTTGAAGCTCGCTTAATCTCCCTTGCTCGGCCATTTGGCACCCGAATCCATGCCCGCCATCGCACGTCCCATTGCACCATAGACAAGCCATCTTCTTCAGACTCGCAACAAGTGGCAGACGGCCTTGTTGTCCATTCAATCTATCTAAGAGCCGACCTTATTGCTAAGCTTATATACTAATAGTAGCTCGGTCCCTCTATTAAGCTTACTACTAGATCAGGTATTACACCGTTATCTATATCGCGGTAGAGAAAGTAGGGACTTCTTAAGCAGGGGCTTAAGAGCGTAGTAGAAGAAATAGGGGCATAGAAAGGTGAATTTAGTAATATATATCTTAGTCTATCTATTAGGATAAGAGAGGGGCTTATATAAGTATAGTAACTATATATAGCTAGCTAAAAGAGGGTATAAAGATATTCCTATACCTAAGTTAGGCCTATATAATATCCTTAAGCTAAGGGAGTTATATTAGTTAGGTAGGCTTTCTTATATATAACTAATATAAGTATAGTAACTATATATAGCTAGCTAAAAGAGGGTATTAAGATATTCCTATATCTAAGTTAGGCCTATATAATATCCTTAAGCTAAGGGAGTTATATTAGTTAGGTAGGCTTTCTTATATATAACTAATATAAGTATAGTAACTATATATAGCTAGCTAAAAGAGGGTATTAAGATATTCCTATATCTAAGTTAGGCCTATATAATATCCTTAAGCTAAGGGAGTTATATTAGTTAGGTAGACTTTCTTATATATAACTATTAGGTCTACTAGGTATAACTATAGCCTCTTATACTTACTCTCTTTAATATACCCCCTTATAACCTTAGCTTTTAGATAGTAGGGTAGTAAGTAGAAGAGCGTTTAGTCTTATAAATATAAAGCCATTTTAATATTAAATTTAGCTACTTTATTATTTATTTAAGGAGGTTATCTAAAAATAAGGGAGGCTTTTAATTATATCTTATAAAAAGGGATAGTAAATATAGTAAAAGGGAAGGTTATTTAGTACCTAGTACTACGCGACCTTAGAAGGCGTAGCCCTAGGTGCCCCCTTATACCTAAGGAGGGTTTAAATTATTAGTTAGTTAGGGTTATATAACCTACTCTTACCGCTTAACTAGTAGTTAATATCGCGAAGCGTGGCCTGATTTCGCAGTTCTCGGAGATATCCCTTAGCACGAGGGACCTAGGAAGCTAAAAAACAGGTTTTAAGGAAGGAGCTAAAAGAAGGTGCAGAGAGGAGGGTGGGGGCAAGAGGGGAAGCAGAAGTGGCGATAGCTTCCTATAGAGGTAGCGAAAGATAAGACGGATATACCGGCAACGGCTAGAAAGGAGGGGAAAAACCGGCAAAAAGCTCGGTAGTCGAAAGGACATTAATAGCTTCTTTAAGCAGGATCTTCTTTATTAATTAAGATACTAGATAGGTATAAAGAGGGGCGTTAGATAGAGGAAAGAAGGAGAATTAAGGCAATATAATAATCACTCCCCTACCGCAATTACTGCTCCTATAAGAATCAAATCTCTCTGCCCTGCCTATCCGACCCCTTACTTCTAATTTTACCTTCGTGTATTTTTATATACTTCTCGTATCTCTCTTTACGAGAGTTATAAGCCCGGGAGGAATAGAATTCCTATACCTTCTAGCTACTATAAAAGGCACCTTTCTTATATCCCTCGTAGCTTCCTTTTACCCTTCTTATTAGAAAAGCCGATTTTTACCCGACTTTTCTATCCCCCCTCTTCCGCAACGATAACGAAAACCGACTCCTCTACCGTCCCTACGGTCCGTAGGACGATTCTTATAGAGCCCTAAGATTAGGATAAGTAGGTAAAGGAGCTACGGGCTCGTATAAATAGAACTATCTATAATTTGGTCTTCTTTAATAAGCAGGACCCTCTCGAGCCCCCTCTTCGTCCTAGGGCAACGGAATTTATAGAGGGAGTATCCCTCTTCTCCGAGCTAACCTCCGTATAGTAGAGAGCTTTTTCTGCTACCTTAGGTAACTACGAGAGTCACCGTAAGGAATACCTTTACGAGACGAAGCTACTAACTGCCGTACGTATAGTAATAACGGAATCCGTTAGTGCCGTAAAGCTAATTACTCTTCGAGAGGAAGAGACTCCTAGGTAGTAGCTTTTAAAGCTCGAGACCTTAATAGCGCCCTCGAGAGGTTATATAACTAACCGTATTAGGAAGACCTATATAGCCTACCTAGGAGCTTTTTCTACTAGGAACCTACTAGCTTCTTCGTAGCTAGCTAAGTAGGAAGAAATCCTTAAGGAAGCTAACTAATACTTCCTTATAGAAGCTCTTTCTAGCTAGTGGCTATAGGATATATCTCTGCTAATAAAGCCGATTAGTAACGGTTACTCGACTATCTTTCGAGAGGCTAGCCGGGAACTAGACGAAGAGGCTGCTAGAGTATAATAGCAAGTAGTCTTATTCCTTCGTAGCTAGCACTCGACCTAGACGGCTCGACCTGCTGCCCCTGCAGCTGCTGCAGCCCTTGCTACTGCGGTTCCCGCTGCTGCTGCTGCGGCTGTTGCTCCTTTAGCTCCTCCTCCCTCGAGAGCCTTAACACCGTTATTAATAGCTGCCCCGGTCCCGGCCCTAGCTCCGCCTCTTGCTCCGGGCCCGGCCCCGGTCCCGTTAGCTAGATAGGCCCGACTAGTCCCTTAATAGACCTTTTAGTCCGTTAGTCGAAAAATCAGGGAACTAGTCGAAATCGAACCTCTTCGTTAAAATTAGCAATAAGGGGTAAAAAGGGGAGGTTTTTAAGCAGACCTTCTAGATCGGGATAAGGATTCCTCGAAGAAATAAAAGACTAAGCGAAACGGCTGCCTAGCCTATAAATCCCTAGGCTATTGATTATTATAATACTAGTAGGTCTTCGAGGAAAACCGACCTAAAGGATTTAACCCTTTAAAGAGGCTATAAGAAACGATATAATAGTCTCTTAAGGAGGACCCCTCGCTATAGAAGAAGATAGACGAGATTCGGGTTACTAAGAAATAGTAACTAACGCCGCTACCCTTATTCGAGCCGTAAATTTAAGGAAAAATCGTTAGTATAGTAAATCCGGCATTCGTCTTTCCTACGGATTAGCAAGACTAACCGTTAGGACCCTCTAACTATCCCCTACGAAAATCAGCTATTATTAACTCTAGTGCTTCCCTTAATATTTATAATATACTCTTATAATTCCGGTCCTTTAAGAAGGCACGGAGGGAATACCTTATTACCGGGGAATTAACCGTATAGATAGAGGGATACGGAAGGGTAAATTTTATAATAAAATTACTTAATAGGTCTTTACGAATTCTTCGACGAAAAAGGGTAGCTTTTTGCCCTCGATTTTTAATAAGCTTAATTTCCTTCCGCCTTCTTCGAGAGGAAGGAATCTTCTAGGATATAACGTCTAAGCCTATAAGGCTAGTCTAGAAGAATTAGACTATTAGGCTTATCGAGGAAAAATTCGGTTAATTTATTCTCGAATTCCGACCTATCCTTAGGAAGGAATCTCTCGAGAAGTTAGCTTTCCCTGCTAGGAGGAATAGGTCTACTATAAAAGACCCTCTTCCGGCAGCCTAAGGAGACGGTCTTCTTTAGCACGCACGACTTAGTTACCCGGGCCCCCTAGCTTTATATAAGCTAGGATAATAATAGGGCGTACGAATAAGGGGCCTAAAGACCGTCGAATGCGAATACTACGGCTAAGGGAAGACTAGGAGACGAATTTCTAGACGGACCCTAGTACGGCCGGACCAGCCGTATAAGGAAATTTAGGTTAACTAGACCGACGTTTCTAGGGATTAAGAAAGCTTCGTTAGGGTAATGTTTTTTATAAACGCTTTTTTAGGGATGGTTTTCCCCTTTTTCTTATAGACCTACCTAAGTAAGTATAACTAGTCTACCCTCTAAGACTTCGTTAACTAGATAAAATCCTACTTTAGCTATAAGGTAAAGAAGATATAGTCTAATAGAGAGCTATTTACGAAGGATATCTTAAATTAGCTTTAAAAAAGGGGCATTTTACCCCTCCCGTTAGCACCGAATACCTAGGCCTAGAACGGAGGGGTAGAAAGATTAAGGGGTGCTATAATAGAAAGGGCCCGTACGATAAGACTTACTATAAGGCTTCTATACGACCTATAGAGGGAAGTCGTTGAGACCGCCTATTACCTTTAGAACCGGACCCTAAGGGACCTTAAGGACCCTAGGGGACTAAACTAAGGAATAGACTAGAAATCCCCCCTCGAGCTCTTTACGAAGAAGAGGGCCTCGCTAGCCTACCTTCGTGCTTACGGCTATAAGGCATACGTAATAACTACCGATATATAGCTAAAAAGGAAGAAGAAAAGAAAGCTTAATCTAAGAGCCTTTATTAGTTACCTCGTTAGGTATAATTCTATAAATATCTTCCGGATCTAGATTCCTCTTCTATAGAAGGTTATTTCGACTAGGGATATAATTTTCGACGAATCTAGCTTCTTCGATAGAAAGAGGGATTAATAGCCCCTCTTACTCTCTTAACGTTAGCTAAT